GCCATCTGTTATTACTCCTCAGTGCTTCTTTATTTTTATTTAAGGCTTAGCTTTGATTTTACGGTGCACCATCCATTTTCTTTGGCAAATTACTTGTGGAGATGTTTCAAAGCTTACTGGAAGTGACATTCCCTGCACAGCCTCTGCTCGATCCCAGCCCTCCTCTTTATCTGCCAGGCTTCATATATGTGCCCACTCCAGCAGTTACAAATTAAAATATATAGCTTTTTTTACTTCCTAGGAGGGTGTGCACTCTTTGTAAGTGGATTTTTGCTGGCACTTTCTAAAAGTTGCCACTGCTTGGCCCTTCAATTTCCTACGTTATCTACTTTGGGCAGATTTTCACTATCTCATGTTTTCACTGAAATTGGAGATTGTATGTTTCATTCTCATTGTTAATTTGAGTAAGAACAGAGGGGAAAGCTTCTTTGCTCTGCTATCACCATGTTCATATTGGTAACAAAGTCCTAGTTTCTATAAAAACCCAAATGTGTAAATGAGCTTACACTGGTTGCACTACAGAAGGAGAAAAGGAAAGAGTTTTTGAGAATTGACACAGTAAAGAGAAGAGATTTTCCTTTACCAAAAAGAAAGATCTGTGAGCCCCAAGCCATGGGATCCCTGTGGGATTTGTCATCACGGGGTAAGGAGAGACCTGAGGGGGTCTTCCCAGGAGAGGGTCACCCAGCAACCCAGGAAGGGGGGACCTGAGGCACTCAGGTTTCCAGACTTGCCACAAATTCTAGAACTTCATGAGTGGCCCAGAAGCAGAGAGAGAACCTTCCCCAGCGGGCACAATGGTAGACTGGTAAGAGAAGCATTCTCTTCTCTTTCCAAACACAGCATTAGCTTATAGGATTCTGTTGCTCCTTGGGAAGGAGAACATGCCCCAGTTATGCTTAAGAAGGGATTTTCTACCAGTCCGTATGATGGAGACTTGGAGCCAGATATTAAATTGATGTATAGGAAATAAAAAGCATCCTAATTGTCATGCTTCTGAGTTTATAAACTAGGACCCATGACCACTATAGAAATTATAATCACAATTAGAGAGGAAGGACAAAGTAATATGGACACAGAGGATGGGATTCCTTAACGCTGACTGATGGTGAGAACGTCAAGCTTGGTCTTAGAAGTTGATTAGGAGTTTTCCAGGCAAGGAGGGAAGTAACTTTCAAGCAAATAAAACAACATGGGTAAAGGTCCGGAGAATGGTATATTTGCAAGGTTTCAATCAATTGATATGGTTGAGCTTGCAAATATTCATGTTTACTTTATAACCATTTTTTTGCATATTTATAAACTTAGTAATCAGTTTAATTGATACCCTTCAGTCTCTGTCACAGAGGCATGGAAAGAGCCAGGAAAGCTGATGTTACATTTCTGGCACTTCAGACTCATTGTGGTAGAGAATCAAGATTAATTTCTGAACTTGAGGGCCTTTGCTTAGTATACTTTATTCCATTGCCTTGAGGGAATTAAAATGAATCTCCTTTTAAAAAACATCAGCATGAAGGAGGATCTACTTTGCTATGTTTCTCTGCTTCTAAAAGTAATTTAAAATGTAACTATTCAAAAGTGTGATCAGTCCTGATAACCATAGGATAAACCTAACTCTGGTAGGCTTCTGGAAAGCTTCTCTTCTTTATTAAAGACCAATTAACTTAGCTCTCCAAGATACTATATATTACCTAGAGTCACAAAGAAGTTGCATTATCCTTTGGTATAACAAATGCATCATTTAAATATTCACCTGAGTCTGCTTGACAGGTTTATATGAAAACACAGTAGAACTTGAAGGCCATCCACATCATCATGGAACCATTACTATAATTTGCTGGCTAAAATATAAGATTTATCCCATCAGGTAAAAGTGCTCTTCACCCCCTCTTGACTTTGCCCAAGAAACAGGAAAACATGAAAAGGTGCCCGGATTGTGCTAGACAATTGTGGTGCCCCATGAAATCAGCCACATTCTGGTTTTGGCTTTTGTGTTTGCACTTTCTTTCCATTCTTCAGTATTTCCAAGGGATATACATGGTAGATTTCTGGATTAGGGTTCACATTGTTCTCTCCACAGGAAAAAACACTTCTTTCCACCAAACCTTTAAGAGTCTATTTGCCTTCTTTGTACTATGTACTCTGTTCATTTTTGCCTTTTCGGCAAACTCAGAAATAAACACAGCTTCTCTCTCCTTTTTCCAGTTTTCAGGGTGTATCTATTATATAAAGGGGTTGGACGGAGGTAGTCCCAGAATCTGGACCATGTCCAAGAAAATGAGGGCTATGCTAATGAAGTAAACAAGAATCAACACAAAATGGATCAAATTCATATTTACACCACCTCCCCTTCTGAGGAGAAGGACTGTAAATACACAGCCAGATAAAATTGGGACACACCCAACTCCAATCTGTGTGGTGGGGGTAGAGGGGCAGGATTATGTTCGGTATTGAAACATATTGTTGTAGAGAAGTTTGTAGAAAGAGAGGAGTAGAGTGTAATTATTTGTATTTATTCCGTACTTATATGAGCTGAATCAGGTATAATTTAATATTCTAATCACTTAAAAGGTGTATTGTAATTTAAGGCAGGGATGATTCATGCATTTAATAGACACAGAGCACTTACTATGAGTCAGGCAGCATGCCAAGAACTAAATATACAGAGGAGCACAAAATGATCTCTACCTCCAATGAGCTTGCAATTTAGCAACGAGCAGTACTGATCTATGTTTAATTATGCATTATTCACTCAGTTCCCCACTCTGACAGAAGCCCCTCTGAGGGCAGGGAAAATGACTGAGCTGTTTGCCAGTTTATCCCCAGTGCCTGACTCTGTCTGTGTCTGGCACACAAGAGATGCTTAACAACTCTGCTTAATAAATGACTGTGTTTAGTCATTATCTGCTTTGTGCCAGGCACCACACAATAAGCATTATCAAGGACTAAATGTGGTTCATCACTCTCCCACAGCCTGCTGAAACGTATCAACTCTTTTTACCCCTAAGGTGATCTGTTGACCACTTTAGGAAAAAAACAAAAAAACAAAACTACTTTTAACTTCAAATCACTAAAGCTCTATTTCTTGATGTGCTTTCAAACTTAGATGTAAAATGTAGCATTTCTAAGGACTGGATTAGTCTTTTCAGCATGGATTGGTAAAAGGTAAACCATGACAAGGATGGCTTCTATTTATTGAAATGATATTTACTGATCACTATATGCCAGGACAATTGGGCATTTATAAGATAATTTTAGGGAACATATAGGCTAACCTAAAATTTTTGTTGCATATAAATTCATTTTAATGTGTTTTAGGGAAAAAAAATGTAACCACATCAATGATTCATGGATATCATGAATATAGTTTAGAATGAGGCTACGTTCCCTCCAGCCCAAAATGACCTGATTTAAAGAGAATTTAAAGAAAAAAAAATGTTAAGTATATAAGGGTATAGGTGGGACCTGCATATGACGAGAACAGGAAGGTGGTGCGCAAGATTTGACTGCTTGGGACCATCTGTGTGATCTCACGAGATACCTGAAAACATGTGGAGGAAGACAGTAGGTACAGGGTCACCGTGTGTATGCCTAGGGGCTGTGGAGCAAGATAACTGGGTTCAAATTCTGCTATCCTATTTATTTCATTCTTTGAGCTTAGGCAAACGTCTCCAAGTTTTGGCTCCTTCATCTGCAAAATGTGATGATACTATCCACCTCACAGTGGCAGAACTGAGATTCAAACACAGGTCTCTTTGATATCAAAGCCAGGCCATGGCCTCTCCTAGGCTAGCAGATGGGTTTTATCTCATGTGCCAATTTGAAGGGTTAGAAGAAGCTGTCAGTGGCACAGAGTTGACAAGTATATGAGGCTAATTGAGGAAAGCAACAAATGGACAGAAGATGTCTGCCTTCATATGTGTCCCCTCCATGGCACGCGGTGGCTGTCCACCATGGCCTCAGTGACAGTTCCCAAAAGAACAAGTCGATGAGATTCAGCATGAAGTACAGTGAGAGTGTGATTTAACCCAGTCGTTTTCTTTTTACAGTTTCTTCTTTATATTGCCACCAATACTAAGAGAGACATGCCATTATCTAGAATAAGACTTCTGCTTTAAAACTAACATGTTGTATAAAAGTGTTTTACAGTAATCAAATGTTATGTACCTCTTCAGTTACCTTCTACTAAAATCATCTAAACATTTCAGTAAACACCAGGTGTCAGATTTTCTGAAAAAGGAATGAGAAGAAACAATATTTTTTTTCTCATACCAGTGTACTTTTATTTTTATTTTTCTAATTTAAATTCAATTAGCCAACATAAAGTACATGCTTAGTTTCAGATGTGGTGTTCAATGATTCATCAGTTGCGTATAACCGCCAGTGCTCATCACATCATGCGCCCTCCTCAATGTTCATCACCCGGTTACCTCATCCCTCTACCCACCTCCCCTCCAGCAACCCTCAGTTTGTTTCCCATAGTTAAGAGTCTCTCATGGTTTATTTCCCTCTCTGATGACTTCCCACTCAGTTTTCCATCCCTTCCCCTCTGATCCTCTGTGCTGTTTCTTATATTCCACATATGAGTGAAACCACATGATAATTGTCTTTCTCTGATTAACAATATTTTTTTAAAAAATTTAATTCCAGTGTAGATAACATACAATGCTATATCAATTTCAGGTGTACAACATAGTGATTCAACAATTTTATACATTCTTCAGTGCTCATCATAAGTGTACTCTTAATCCCCTTCACCTATTTCACCCATAAGAAGAAACAATGTGTGTCCCTACCTCAGCTATCATAGACTAATCTTGGTCAGTTGTTGGTTGACTCTTCTCCCAACAGTTGAAGTTCTCAAAAGCAAAGAATGGGCCCAGTAAAAGCTGACCCTTCCCAAGTATTTGCTTGAGTATGAGGGGAGAGCAAACACACTATCACCATCAGATCAATAGCCTTTTGAAGACACCATGGAACGATAGACACATGTTGGCCCCATCTGGAGGCCACAAACTCAGTCTCCTCCTTCATGGTAGCTACTTTCTGCGAACAATACTCGTTCAGTCCTGCCATCATCTTGGTACTCATCTAGCCATCTGCCATGGGAAGAGGGAAGATAATTAATATGAGAGAGAATTTAAAGGCACATTACTTAGAATTGAAAATAAAATACAGAAAGAATTTAAAGAGGCCTTCAGGGAGAACCACAGAAATTTTAAAAACATTTAAGATTTCATGCTACACCAAATGATCTTTAGGAGTGTAACTTCAGCAAATCTTTGCCCTATACTTTAGTTGCAAGGTTACATTGATTTATCCAAAAATGCTGGATTTTAGGAACTTCCTATGGTAACATTACAAATATTCTCATATAAAATCAGTAAAAATTTCTCATTTGGGGTTTCCTAGTGGAAGCCTTTATGTCTCTCCTTTCATGTGACTGGTATGTGTATGCAGTGGCTCAATCTAGAACAGCACTCTTCAAGAGAAATATAACACAAGCCACGTATATAAAAACAGTAAAAATTAAAAAGGTGAAATTATTTTTAGTATTTTTCATTTTAATAAATATAAAATATATGAATGTTTGTTCCCTCCACCCCCTACCCAAATTCATATGTTGAAATTTTCTGGGCTGTGCTTTAAGTCATGAGGTCCCTCCTGAATGAGATTAATGCTTTTATAGACAAGGCTCCAGAGAGATCCCTTGCTTCCTCCACCACATGAGAACAGAGCAAGTAGGCAGTTTGCAGCTTGTAGAGGGCCTTTGTCAGAACCCAATCCTGCTGGCACCCCGATCTTGGGCTTCCAGCCTCCAGAACTGTGAGAAATAAATCTGTTGTTTATAAGCCACCCAGTCTATGGTATTTTGTTATAGCAGCCCGAACAGACTAATACAATTACATTCTTTATTCATTCTACATCTTTGATATCTGACATGTACCTTATACCTACATCACCACTCAGGTCAGAATAAGCGCAGTTCAGGAGTTCAGTAGACATATAGCTGGTGGCCCCCATATCGGACAGTGCAGTTCTAGAAACACATCCACCTCCATCTGAATGCTGATTCTGCTAATCACAGTTGGGTAAGAAGTTTCATCTCTTTGTCCCTCAGCTTCATCATCTGTGAACCACACGTATCAGAGCCTCCTAGAAGTCAGCTGTGAGGAGCACGGAGCTGCTGTGTGAAGCTCTGGCTCCATTGTGGAGCCCATTCCGTGATAGGAGTGCACCACATGCTAGCGATTGGCACTCCTTGATTTTCTCCCCGCCAAGCAGAAAACCGACGTGTAACCTTAGAGAGCCCACAACAGAGTAAATGCCCCCGTGTTTGCTTTTTTTATTCCACAATAAAGTCCTAAATAATTTCCTCTCCAGAGACCTTTTCTTTTCTCATCAGTAGAAGGGAACTTGAGTCTAAATGGCTAAGGTATGCTGGGAAAACTAGCAAAACCTGTGTCTTCTAAACACTCCAAATCTCAGTAGAATTTCCAACAAATCAGTTTTATAGTAAACTCAGTAATTTGCACAGGGACTTCTTCCTTAGAAGAAGGACAAAATCTACACAAAATCCTGGTGATAGACACTAAATTAAAATCCCCAAAAAGTGTCAAAGAGACCAAGAGACGCAACTAACTCACCTATAACTTTTTCTAAATTAACATATAATGTATTATTTGTTTCAGGGGTACAGGTCTGTGATTCATCAGTCTTATACAATTCACAGCACTCACCATAGCACATACCCTCCCCAATGTCCATCACCAAGCCACCCCAGCCTTCCCACGCCACTCCTCTCCAACAACCCTCAGTTTGTTTCATGAGATTAAGGGTCTCTTATGGTTTGTCTCCCTCTCTGGTTTCATCTTGTTTCATTTTTCCCTCCCTTCCCCTATGATCCTCTGTCTTGTTTCTCAATTTCCTCATATCAGTGATCATATGATATTTGTCTTTCTCTGATTGACTTATTTTGCTTAGCATAATACCCTCTAGTTCCATCCATGCCATTGCAAATGGCAGGATTTCATTTTATTGATGGCTGCATAATATTCAACTATATATATATATATTCCACATCTTCTTTATCCATTCATCTGTTGATAGACATCTTGGCTCTTTCCATAGGTTGGCTATTGTGGACATTGCTGTTATAAACATTGGGGTGCAGGTGCC